ACCACTCGCCACCATCACCCACCCACCCCCCGCCACCAGCCACCACCACCAGCTACCCACCACCCACCATCACTACTTTCCACTACCGTCTTCGCCGCCACTTGCCATCACTTGTCATTTCTCACTCTTTTTTATATTTTAAAATTTTTTTAGACATTTTGTCAATTACCAAACGTGTTTATAGTTTATGTTTTTCTAAAAATAAACAAAAACCAATTTATAAAATTTTTGTAAATATAAACTAAAAACGTAAACGTTATCAAACAGACCCTTATTATATATAATGTCAATTCTAACTCATTATTCTCAAAGCCTTAGTGTTTTATAACTTTTTTTTTGTTTGTATTTTTGTTAATTTAGGAATTGAAAAGTATTTATTAAATGGATGGATTGGATATGTTTGAAGTGGTAGACAAATAACTACTTCAATATTTTTACATACGTTAGTGACTATACTAAAAAGTGACTTGAGTTTGAAAGGTCATAGACCGATTAAACCGCACTGAATTAAACCGTTTCAATCGGTTTGGTTCGGTGCGGTGCGGTGCGGTTTAATAAGAGAAGTGGTCTATATCGGTATTCAAAATAATAAAACCGATATTATCAGTTTGATGAAAAATTTTACCTAAACACCGATTGTACCAAATCGATTACATCCCTATCGGTGTGTTCGTGTCATGTCCATGTTTCTTAGCATAAAGAATAAATCCGCAATTTACATACCACGAAGAAATCGTACGTGACAACAAATTCTTAAAAATCTCAAATTGGAGTAGACCAAATGAGCAACAAACAAAAATGCTAGAGACCACAATTTATTTTCTCAATATTTCATTTTGTAGCTTAATTGGCAAGCTATTATTTTACTAAATTTGCACATAGTATTATATTGAACCAATCATTGATCCCCTTATTTGACACAAATTGGTAAAAATTTATATTTAACAATTCTCTCTTCTTTTCCCTTTTTTTATTTTCTTTTTTATTTTTGATAAGTAGATCATATTAAAAGATCATAAAAGCGGATGTTGCCCATGTACAAAAGGTTAAATCATGATTATCTATATCTTGCAAAACATAAGATGACAATTTTGAAAGAAACAAGTAGCATAAGATAAGAAGACAAAATCCAAATTTCCCCTTTTCCATCATAATAAAAAAAATATGTTTGTTTAATGTATTATAAACTCAAACATGTGGCAAAGATCATCAAAAATTACAACCATCAATTCATTCCTCTATACCATCTGCAAGAATTTTGGATGTTCCATGGAAGATGAATCACCCCATTAACATTTTATTTAGTATCTCAAAATAGATATTATCCAAAGAAATCATCTCACAATTTTAAATATGACACAAATTGGCAAAAATTAAAAATGTAACAATTCTCTCTTCTCTCTCTCTCTTTTATTTATTTATTTATTTATTTGGGTTAAGTAAAGTAGATTATATTAAAAGATCATAAAAGTGGATGTAGCCCATGTGCAAAAGCTTAAATCATGATAACCTATATCATGCAAAACATAAGATGCCAATTTCGAAAGAAACAAAGTAGCATAAGATAAGGATACATAAGCCAAATTTCCCTTTTCACTATAAAAAAAGAAAAGAAAAAAGAGAGTATTATAAACTCAAACATGTGGCAAAAATCATCAAAATTGCAACCATCAATTCGTTCCTCTATATCATCTACAAGCATTTTTCCCGTTCAAGAAAATTCGAAAGGGATAACACTTCAAAAGATATGATGAAGTTCATTGTTCATCTTACTGGCTCCATTTTAGGAGATGAATTTCTACAACAAATGCTATAGAATATTAACGGGACCACTAAGAATCAAGCACAATGAATAAAAGGAAGTTAAAACCAAACACAACACATGATCGTAGAGTATTGAAAGCGAAGATCATTCAACACCACAAATCCAATGCAAATGCACAAATCAACAATAACATTAATAGAGAAGCAATGAAACTACTCTCACTACCGACTCACTCAAGGATCAATCCCAAAAAAAACACAGACAAAACCCTCAGATTCAAAATGAAATTTAAAAGAAGTATGGACTAATCAAGAGAGGTACAAGTAGAATTCATATATGGAAGAGAAAGGAAATGAGATTGAATTGGTAATGAGATTTGTATGTTTGAGAGGTTCTATCTCAGTTGGAAGTGAGTTTTTTCCTCAACAAGAGCAAATTTCTTATAACTTTCTTACTTGAGAGTGCAGAATCACCAGTAAGAAACGTCAGCTTACACCTCACTTCCCATCCCAAGTATGATTTTGTTCTTCAAATATGGAAGCTTGAAGTTTTATGTAATAACAAGACTTTTTTTTCATATACAAAAGGGGCATAGCCTAAAATTACCTTTCGTTATTTTTTTTATGGGTGAAATTATTCTCTCTTATGATTAGGGGGCTAATATGAAATTTCACTCTTGAGAAAATGTGTGGGGTAACTAGTGATATGTTTGTGCACATATCACCCTCTAGACTCCCAAATGTTCATATTTAAAGGGTAAAAGTAGGAAATTTAAATCCACAACAAACCCCAACCATGCATGAACATATATGTAGCTTCGCCCAACATGCAATGATGATTTGATTATGAAACGTGTCAAGAAAAAATTAAAATTAAATCATAACTAAAATGTTAGTTAGCTTGAGATAGCATTCGTATTGATTGCAAGATGTGTGAAAGTCCGTTGCATAACAGAACCGGACCATTTTACTTAAATTTTCAAAACAAATCAACACAATAAACAAACATAAGTCATTAATTGGCTCCTATTAATGCAAATTACATGGGGGTTCAAAATCATCAATACCCTTATTTTTACTTTCCATATACAAAATTCTCCTATCTATACATCCCATCGACAACCTAACATCAAATGCTATTAGAACTTTTTACAATTTAACACCATGTAACTGCAAGACTCTTGTTACAACATCACCTACTCATAATCTTGTTATCATGAATTAGAAAAGCTTTGTTGGCTAAAATATGCACGTAATAACCTCACCTTCCTAAAATGACAAAACACTTGCATAAAGCCTAAGAAATACAGACACTTCGATGAAGGTAGCATGCCCGTGTCGGATATTGACACTCGTTGGACACTTCCCGATATGTGTCCAAAGCTCGTCAAAACGTGTCCTATTTTTTTAATTTTTTTTTAGATCCGGACAATTGGAGGACACACGTGTCCATACCTTGAACACTGTCCACCGATTGGACAGATACTATGTTACATGGACTCTTTTATTTCACCCACAATATCCGTGTCCACCGGATATGACATGAGTAAGGTTGTAGGATATGTGTCCGACACTCATATCCAATTTAGACACTCGGATCCTTTAATTTGTTACAATATATGAAAAGAAGAAACTCACATTTACTAGTAAAACAATACTTTAAGCCTCACATGAATTAGATATAGAAATTTCATATTTTTTCTGAATCCTATTCAATTTCAAATATATATTCCTATATAATTTACAACATTTCATCCGAGAATATTATATAATATGCAATATATATAAGTGTCTATTAAGTGTCTCCGCATCCATATCCAATTTTGAATACGTATCCCAAGATTCTAAGATTTAAATTTATGAAGGTCTGACACTTAGAAACACACCCATACACGATACTTGTACCCGACTCCATGTAACATAGGACAGATATGAAACTAATTATATTTGTTGGAACTAAATAACTTAGGATACAATAATAAAAGAAAAGAAAACAATGTAAATATATAAAATAAGTGTTATATTATATTTTTTTTATTATCTTTAAATGATATATTCATATATAACATATAATAAATATATAAACAGGCGTGTCCTACATTTTTTAAAAATTGGTGTGTCAGCAAGTCCGTGTCATATATGTGTCCATGTCCATACTTCTTAGCATAAAGCATAAATCTGCAATTTACATACCACAAAGACATTGTACATGACAAACTCTTAAAATCTCAAACTAGAGTAGACACCAAGTGAGCAACAAACAAAAAATGCTAGAGACCACAACTTATTTTCTCAATATTTCATTTTGTAGCTTAATTGGCAAGCAACTATTTTTCTAAATTTGCACATATTATTATATTGATCCAATCATTGATCCCCTTATTTGACACAAATTGGTAAAAATTTTCTTTTCTTTTCGTTCTTTCTTTCTTTTTTTCTTTTTTTTTGATAAGTAAAGTAGATTATATTAAAAGACCATAAAAGCGGATGTTGCCCATGTACAAAAGGTTAAATCATGACAGCCTATATCATGCAAAACATAAGACACCAATTTCGAAAGAAACAAAGTAGCATAAGATAAGAATAAATCAGCCAAATATCCCCTTTTCCCTAAAAATAAAAATAAAATTGTTTAATGTATTATAAGCTCGAACATGTAGCAAAGATCATCAAAATTAAGACCATCAATTCATTCCTCTATATCATCTGCAAGCATTTTGGATGTTCCATGGAAGATGAATCACTCCAATACATGTTAATATGTTATATAGTATCTCAAAATAGATATTATCCAGGGAAATCATCTCACAACTTCAAAATTTAAAAAAAAAATCCCGTTCAAGGAAATTCAAATGGGATAACATTTCACAAGATATGAAGAATTTCAACAACAAACGCAATAGAATGTTAATGGGACCATTAAGATTGAAGTAAGTTAAAACCAAACGCAACACAAAAGTCAGAGACACACATACATGTAAAATGATCACAGAGTATTGAAAGCAAAGATCATTCAAAACCAAAAATCCAATGAAAATACACAAATCAACAGCTACATTAACTACCCTCACTACTGACACACTCAAGGATCAATCCAAAAACAAAAAACAAACCAACAAAAACACAAAACCCTCAGATTCAAAATCAAATTGAAATCAAGAGAGGTACAAGTAGAATTCATATATATATATGGAAGAGAAAGGAAATAAGATTAAATCGGTAATGGCGGTGATTACCAGTAAAGGGCTTGCGCTTAACGCAAGGGTCTAGCTGATTACACCACCGAAGTCGGCACGACTTGCCGGACCTCCCGGGAATTCCTCGGGCGATCAGGCTCCAATTCCTCGCGCCGAACTTGCTCACGAGGCGGCTTAGTACCGCGTCTTCTTCAGGCGACCAAGGTCCCTTGACTCGGCTGCTACTGCTACCACCACCGTCACCGTTTCCGTTTCCGTCTCCATCACCTTCGAGAACTACAACTAAATCTGCGACGGCGTCAACGGCGGCGTCAAGGACAGGCGATTCGGTTTGGTCCTCTTTCTTCATCGTTGGTTTCTCTCTCTAGCCTTTCGGTTTTGTTTTGTATCTCTCTCTCTCTCTCTCTCCGAGTTTTTCTCTCTCCAGTCTGTATATATATCTATTGCAACCGGTACCTACCTGCCTAACTGCAAATTTTTTCAGGGACAGCGGACTTGATTTAGACAAATGTTTCGGATTCTCTCGTCTGCCCTGCCTCTAAGGCGGTTTTTTTAAATTTACCATTGTGTCCTTTTATTTGTATCCTCGTTTGGCATGAAGAAATTTGAAATTTTTTAGTTAAAATAATCACAAAAACATAAAATAAATTAAAAAATTAATAAAATAAAATATTACATTCAAATCATAATTATTTTATTTTTTTCCTCATAAAAGACAAAAAAATCAACAACCCTATCCCAAACAAAGCTTTAACCCCAAGTTGAAATAATAAAAAAGTCAACCTGCATTCCAAACGAAGCATGTGTTGTTCTGTTTAGGAGTGTGTGCGATGCGGTTTAGGCAGTTGGAGAGTAAAATTACAAACCGAATAGCGGGTTAGCGGATTAGCAGATTAACAAATTGCGGCTTGGGCAGTTTTTGACAGATTGGCAGATTGAAGAATATTCTAACTAATTATCATACATTTGCTTAATATATAACACTAATTTGTAAAATATTTTTTTAGATATATAACACAAAATAATTTACATAATATGTTTCATATATATAATCATTAATTTGTAATAAATTTCTTATCTTAAATCTCTCTTTTTTACATTGGTATTTCATTGGAAGTTAAAAAATATATGTGCATAACTATAGCAGAGCGGAGCTGTTCGGTTGACAGATTATAAATTTCAAAGTTTAAACCACGATTAGTGGTTAGAGCGGTGTAGATTGATGCGGATCGGTGCGATTTTAACTAGGGGTGGGCAACGGTTTATCCGAACCGCTCAAACCGCCCAACCCGCATATAAATGGGCGGTTTCGCAAACATAATGCGGGCGGATGCGGTTTGAAATGTGACAAATTTGCGGGTTGCGAGTGGGTCGCGGGTTAAACCCGCAACCCGCGAAAACCACCTGCACTTTAATTATTATTATTTTTTATATACCAACTTTGTAACTTTAACAGGAGCACCATTATGTTTTCTATGACACTAGGATCCTTATTTTTAAGTATTTCTCAACTTTCTTAATGTTGTAGAATTATCAAGTTTTAAACTTGGTTTTTTATATGATTTTCATTGATGACTCATCTACTTTTTCCTAATAAAAATTTCCTTATGGTGGTCGATGAAGCTTCTAGTTTGATTATTGATTGCTGAACTGGCAATTCTAATTGAGTACAACCTTTAATGCATTGATATAATTTTTTTCATGGCAAAAATACTAGTGTAGGGTCTCTTTGTTTTGGGTACTGAGAGGGTAATTTTTGGGAAAAAATTGGGCCGAGCTGTGAGTTGGGCCCTGCGGCCCAACATGTGAAGGAATCGGTAAGAAGCCGTAATGTTATTTCGGCCCAGTAGAGGTATAGATACTCCGGCCCAGGAGAAGTATAGTTATTCCGGCCCAGGAGAGGTGTGGTTACTCCGGTTCAAGAACGTGTAAAACAATTCCGGTCCGGTGGCAATTTGAAGTGAGTCCGGTCTTGCATTTAATCCGGTCGTGTCATATTATGGTTAGGTCGGTCAGAACTTACTACTTTGAAGTTTGATCTAAGCATATCATGGTTGAACAGGGGAAAGCCGAGATAAGGAGTTGGAGGAGAAGCCGAGCTAAGGACAGTTCGGCCTTCTATGTGGCTCTGCATAGCCAAGCTTATTTCGGTCATATAATAGTTCGGCCAAAGTAAAAACCATCCCACTTGGTTTAAGCAGTGGGGGAGGGTGTAAAAGGATAGGCATTATCCTTAAGAGTATAAATCCTAGGAGGACTCTGCATGGAGAAGTACAAATCCTACTAGGATTGTGCCACGGGAAACTTATAAAAGCTCACAAGCATCACCTTGGAGGAGGTAATTGAACACACTTCTTTCTGAGCACATAGATCTTTGTCTATTTGTCAAGCTTACTGACTTAGGCATCAGAGAGGTTTCCGGCACACACCCGCCGGCTAGCTCCCGTTTGTGTTTTCAGGTGATAAAGCGACGTCGCATGGAGGAGCGTGGACTTGGTCAACAGGATTATACGAGGAGAATTATTTCCTCCCCGTACAATTGGCGCGGTCTGTGGGAACATACAGACAAGAACAAAAACCTCTTGACAAAGCTTCTCCTTTTCTCAATCAATGGCACACATTGAAGAACTACCGCAGTCCGCCGTCGACGGGCTAACCCCTGACGGGGGCACAAGGCGAGAAGGATTACCCTCTGTCCCTCCTATTGCAGATCTGGAGCCCCAACAACATAACTCCAGGAGGAGTGGAAGGGGAAGGCGAAATAACAGCCCTCGTCACTCTCAAAGTCCTAACAAGCAAAGGAGGAGGATTGATCTTCAAGCCCTGGAAGATCGCGTGAAGGAGCAAGATGAGCTAATTCGGAAGATGGCGGCGGACATGGAGGCTTTGAAACGCCAGACAAAGGCTAAAGATGTGGCGATAGGAGAGGGGCGCAAGCACAAGACGCCCCCTCGCCACTCAGAGAATCGTAGTAGGAATACTACACCCTCCCAAGGAGAGAGCAGAAGCCTCAGGACAGGCGACACTCACTCCTTATCTTCAAGGACTCGTCACTCCAGGTCTGAGAGGACGAGATCCGAAAGATCATACACTGAAGGAAGCACGTATTGGCCTTCACATTCACACCAAACCAGATCCAGACAAACCGAGCTACCCAGGTCATCCGACTTACGAACCGTGCTAGAAGAAAAAGCACGATGCAAGGAGGATGCCAGGGCAAAGGATCCACACCGAATTTCGGCCCTACAACGGTTGGCTCCTCGAACGCATGGAAGCGTCGAGGTTGGAATGCCAATACCACGACCGGCATACGAACCAACGGATAAAGCATTGGCAAGACTACAGACTTCGCCGTTTGTCCCAGCAATCGAAAACGCCAAGAAAGTCCAGCTGGGGATTATGAATAATAATTTACTATGCCGAAGACGAATAATAGAGGAATCAAGGGAATAAATTTAAATTCTCTACTTAATATTTTCCTTATTTAACTTCTCTACTTAATATTTTCCTATACTTTTTTCTTTTCCTTTATAAGTTTTTTTCATAAATGCATCATGTAAACACAGTTATCTTGTTGTGCACCTTTGTTTGAATTGTTTATCTATTTATTTCTTTTCTAAAGAGAAGGAATAACCAAAGAACAAAAAGATCGTAACTAAAAGTACATATAATACAGAGTAATGTTAAAGAGCTCAAAAGATTTATGAAATTTTTTATCAAATATCTCTGACAAAGAAGGGGAATTTTTTTTTAATTTCCCTAGTATTAAGATTTTATAGGATAAAGAACATGCGATATTTTCATAATGTATCCCTCAACATTTTTTCAGAAAAATTTCAATCTTGAGAAATTTCAAAACACAGAGAAATTCAAAATTTCTCTAAAATTTCTGTGTTTTGAAATTTCTGTGGATCAAAATTTCTCTGGATCAAATAATGTCTCTCAAATTTCTTTGTGTTTTGAAATTTCTCTGGATCAAAATTTTCCTGTATTTTGAAATTTCTTTGAATCAAAATTTCTTTGGTTTGCTCAATTTTTCTGATTTTATGTGTTTTGAAATTTTCTCTGTATTTTGAAATTTCTCTTAGTTGAATTTTCTCTGATTTGCTCACAAATTTCTCTATCATTTGCTCCCATTGTCTTCTATATTTTGACCAATTTTCTCTGGTTTGCTCATAACTTTCTATATGTTTTAACCAAACCAAAGAAAATTGGGTCTTTTCATAGAAAAATTTCAAGCAATCTTCAACAAACACATACAGAAAAAGAGATTGAAGAATGAAAATACTCTTACTCAAATTTATGCTTGAATCTGAATTTGTCAACTGATGTAGTCAAATTGAATATAATAAAACTCATATGAACAAATATATATATATATATATATATATATATATGTATAACCCTAAGCAAATTTTCTAAACCTAAAGCAAGTGGGAGGAGGCTCCCTTATATAGAATTCATGCCTCAAGCTTGTTTGAAAAGCTAGAGGCTTGAAGCAATCCCTCTATACACGTGTATGGAGGATGCCTTCTGTGCCCAACAGCTGGCACAACTAGCAAGAAAAATATCTACAGAAAAAGTAGAAAAGCTGTTGACCAGTTGAAGTGGTCGACCGACCATTCCCACTAGTTGACCGACCACAAAAGGTGGTCTACAGGGAGGAAAAGTGGTTGGCAAGGGAGGAAGCTAGTCTACACAGAGAGTAGAAGGTGGTGGCAGGTTGCCGACCACCTTAGGTGGTCCACAGACCACCCACTCTAGCTGGGCGACCCCCAAAAGTGGCTGGTAGGGAAGAAAAGTGGTCTACAGGGAGAGAAACTAGTCTACACCCCTGTTCCATCCTCCAGGAAAAGGGTAACAAGGTTCGGTTCGACAACAAACCAAAAAGGAAGCAAGACAAGAGTCCGCAAGGCGAGGCACT